TCCGTCAAAACCTCTAATTAGACCACACAGCTCATCTCCTTCTCTTGTGAACCAAGCAAGAAATTCGTGTGGTTTCCACGTAACTAACTCCTCATCAACCCAGATGGTTGTCGAATGCTTCTGATACACTTTATCCAGTCCAACTGGATACTCCGCTACTATCGTGCCCATGTCCATTGGCACCCCGAACCGTGTAGGAGGTCGATTCATAATCGGGGCTCTGAAAACGGTTAACAAATAATAATGAGAATAACTCAGCAAATAAACTCCCTAAACCTCGTTTGAGAGAATACGTTGCCTCCGGATCGCCCTATTCTAGCATCGATGGAAGTTCAATAGCAAGCGGTCATCGCTTCGCATTAGCTACGCACAAGTTCAAGCAACTCAAACCAGCATGAACAACAAGCCGTCAAGCAACCACAAGCATCCTTACCTCACCTTGGCACACACACCTTGCACAATATAACTCAGTACATGCCACAGCAATGCGATCATGCGTGTTCCGATTATTACAACCTCATAGGCCACGACACAACCCGCATAAAACGCATCAGGTTGGCGGTCTTCCAGCATGACCGGGCATCGTCCCGCCCTATCGGGCATGGCAACATCCCGCGTTAAACGCATCAAGATGGCATTCCATAAGGAGCATTGGTCCGGCCTCTACCGCGGCTCGACATCTAGATACTCTCCAGGCATCCGATAAATCGAGCATCGTCCCACGTAAAATGCATCAGGACATATTCAATCCCCGCTTAAAACGCATCAGGATATTATGTGATCATACAAGCACAACCACCACATAATTCATTATCATCTCCGCATTTAGTCAAATATAAACGTGGTTCGTACTCACACAACAAAGTACTGCAACTTTCGCACGTAAAAATATAGTAATAAATTCATACATGATCACATACACACAATGAACCCATTAAACTTTGCAAGCTTCCATCTTCAAACACCTTTGCCCCATTCGACTCACGAAAATGGACATTTAAACCCAACATCTCGAGGTTTTCACTTATATATCCATAAAACCCTTGTAAAAATTTGCAAACAAGGTTTATAAATTGGGTAACCAATTTCCATAGTATAATAAGCTCCAAAGCACATAAAGCATGCACAACTCATCCTTATACACATGAAGAATTAAACCTTATCATATGATAACCTATCACCGTATAAAACAAGTGTGTATGATAAGTTATCACTCAATTTAAGATAAGCTATCAACCAACTAATGATCAGCTATCAACTAACTCATCATAAGCTATCAACCAAAACGTGGTAAGCTATCGACTAATCCACCTATAATCACCCCAATCAGCCCCTAAACCAAGTCCATTAACAACCTCTCATGCTAACCAAGGTTTAGAGAGTAACTTACTCTTAAACCAAAGAAAAACTAAGCAACGGCGGCGGCGGCAAACAGCTGCGGCGGCGAACGGTTGCGACAGTAGCAAACAGCTGCGGCGGCAAACGGTCGCAGCGGCGAAGTGGTGGACGGCTTGGCAACAATGGTCACGGCGGTGGACGGCGACGACGGTGGCTAGTGGCGACGGTGATGGTGGCCGGCGGTGGTCGACCGAACAAGGATAGTTAGGGAAAGTGGGCATGAGAGAGAGAGAGAGAGAGAGAGAGAGAGAGAGAGAGAAAACAAAGGAAGAGAGTGAAAGAAAAACAAAAGTGAGAGAGAGAGTGTGTGTGTGTGTGTCCTTGGCAAGACACACCCAAGATGGATAGCCAAGATCACTTCTTACCCAACAAGCCAAGATCAATGGCTATGATTAAATCTTGTAAAACAAGCTTCACAAATATCTAAGGGTAAAAATGGAATAAAGATAAGATGAGAGGTGCAATTTCGTAAATTCAGCCCTTGACACTATGCACAGCACTATTCACCTGGGCTTGGGCCAACAAACTTGGACTTAGGCTTGAACGGGCCCAATTGGAAGAGAAAGGGCTTGAAAGGCTTAATGGGCTTACAAATGGGCTAAGCCCATTTTCTTTCTCCTCATGGCTTAATTTCCTCGTGGCTTCTCAATTTCGATCCGAATTTCACTTTTTCAAGAATTTCGAGCAAATCGATAAATAGATGGTTTAATGAGGCAACATCCAATAGATTAATCTTGAAATCCTTGAAAGTTCGATACCCAAATTCGGATTCTAATTCATGATCAAAATCGATCAATTGCAACTTTAGTATATCTCAAACTAACGAGCGGCCTTTAGAAGTTACGCGTATTCAACCCGTGGTTGGTTCAATATTAACCTACGTTTAAGCTTTCTTGAGTCATGGGTGACCTCGGTTGTCATGTAATTGCGAGGGTCAATCGCTAGTTCCGAAGTACACGATTATTAGGAATTGGTTTAGGGTAGTTCGCAATCCATACAATAGTCAGGTAGAATCACCCGCGATCCGATTGTATACTATTGGCGAATCATTTTGTAACCATTCCTTGATCGGTCTATAATGGCTTAAAATTGTCCCTCGTCAATCCTTATGGTCGAATTGTCAATCCATGGTCGAGTTCTCAGGTCGTGCGTACTTAATTCCTCAATAACCTTTCCCCATTGGTTAATCCTCTCATGAGTGATCAATTCAAAGCGAGATTTAACTAACATCGCATCGATGAAATAATCATTTCATATATCTTGAAAAGGCTCGAATTTTAGGATGTCACATCATGTCTTGGTGACTAGGTTGCGCGCGGCAACTTTCTATTGATAAATAGAACACGTCAGTAGACAAAAGAGCATGACTCATTTCACTAGTCTATTTAATAATTTTGATTGGTTAATTATTTCTGACATGGAGCAACTATCAACGAAAATAATGACCTAAATGTGAATATTGATAAATGATTAATGAATACATTTTTATGAATTATGTGGAGTAATTCTGAATTTATAATATCGCTATTGAAAACCAGGTTTTTTTAGTGTTAAGATATCTAAACAACTTACTTCGAGAATTAAATAAATCAATTTGGGATTTGCGCTTGTATTTATTATATCACATGAAACGAGCTCTTTACTTGTATACTGTCTATATAAAAAATACCAAATGAAGACCACAACTAGACGTTAAGTAGTGAGATTTTCGATTATGAACATCTGTATGATGACTTTTATTAGTTGAGACAGATATGTCAGATTCAATTACTCGAATTTGGAATCGGAGAGACTTTATTAAAAAGGTTATGCAAAACCAAAAACTCAATTAAAAGGAAGTAAAATTTTAAGGATTTGATTGGAAAAAGAGTGCATAAGCTCAAGAAAAAATGTCCAAGTATACCTTGAACTATCTAATAAAAAGTTACTTATCGACTTTTCTGCTAAAATCTAAAAGTATTAGATAACCAAAATTATTTTTAAAAAAATAGTTCATTTCATTGCCAAAGGTCCGTAAATACAAATTCCATAAATGTATACCAACAATCATCGTATATCTCACTTTGTCAATTCTTTCAAATTTGTCGACCAAAAAAAAAATTCTTTGAAATTTTACTCCTACATATAGAGAAAAGTGGATTAGAGGTTCATGTTTAAAAAGTGAATTGATTACTTCTCAAAATTTCAAAATTTACCCACACTTAAAGAGGGTTACATATCAGACGAAGGTTTTTGTCTGTGCTTTTTTTTTGGGACAACTACCTTAATATATATTTTAGCAACATTCAGAATTTCACTATAGTTGTTGGATATTTTTGTAGTTTTGAAATATTATAATAGCTCTAATAGAAGTTATGACCGCCATGAATGCCATTATTTTTTTAACGGTTTTGCAACGGCCCTATAACGGATTTTTAATATTTGATTTATTTCTTCGTAAACTCTTCATTATTTTATAACAGCTATATAACGGTCATATTCTTCTTTAATTACCAATTGATTTATAAAGTTTTCTAAACAACTTTCTCTTTCTTTTACCTATAAATAGTTACTTTGAATATAATTGAAAAGTGATATCGATATATTAAAACAAGAATATTCTTGGGAGGATAGTCACTAAAGCCTTATGCATAACATTGTTCATGTTTCTTCTAATATTTGGTGTGAGGTATAGAAGAAGGTTTGTTGTATCTTGGGAGGATAGCCGTTAGAGCCTTACGCACTGAGTTTCGTACTCCGAGAAGCGAAATTATCCTTTAGGTCAGTGCTTGCATGCCTCAAACAATTAATTTTATATTTCTCATCTTTTCCAATAGATTTCCAACAATTGTTATTTTTGCATGTTATCTAACAAATTTTCCAACAAAAATACCCTTAAAATTGCAATATAGCGTAACTTGATCGAATAATTAAGAAGCAATCTCACACATATTCATGAAAAATGTTCTCGAATTCACATGATGGCAATTTGAGTGAGGATGGAATCCAAGGGATGGAAAAGGTAATAAAGAAAAAAGAAAAAAATACTTTGATTATCGTGTTCCAAGGCGTGTTAAAGTAAAAAAGATAATTATACAAATGGTCATTGAACTCTAGTCTAATATATAATGTTATCCCTAAAATTTTAATTTTTTTTTTTGTCACTGAACTTTAGCCTAATCTATAATGTCATTTCTGAATTTTTTATTTATTCAATTTGGTCCCCAAACTTTTGGTATACGTTTAATCTAATCCATAAACTATATTAGAATGTTCAATATTATCCCTGAACTTAAATTAATTGAAGGATGACATTGAATATTTTCATATAATTCATAAAATAAATTAACCATGTATCAAAGTTTCAGAGATCATATTGAACAAATTAATAATTCGGATTTGGCTTTGCACTTTGGACTAAAGTGGAGAAACTACATTGAACAAATTTAAAAGTTCAAAAACGATATTGCACATTAAAATTCAAGGATCATTGATGTCATTTTCTCAAACAAAAAAGGGAAGTAAACTAATAAGTAAAAATAAAAGGTCGTAAAAAGAAAATAAACGTGTGAATAGACTAAAACGACCTTCTTCGTCTTCTTCATAATCAATCCTCAGCCATCACCGTCCCCCGGAAACGGTCGCCAGCGATGCCAAGCCTCATCCTCCACCATGCGCCGCCCATCGGCCGTCCGCCCCCGCCGGCCGTCTCCCGCCTCGCCGCGGCGTCCCCTCCGCACGTCCGCCTAGCCAGGCCGCACGGTGGGCCGCCTCCCGCGAGCGCGTTCCCGGCCGCGAGGGTGGCTCCGGCGGTGAAGTGCATGGCGAACCCGAGGAGGGTGAAGATGGTGGCGAAGCAGATAAGGAGGGAGCTCTCGGACATGCTGCTCACGGACAAGGTGCTGCAGTATGCGATTCTGCCCGAGGCCGCCCTGGGCGCTGATCGCTACCTGTCGTCGCTCACCACCATCAGCGACGTCGAGGTCTCTTCCGATTTGCAGGTGAAGCGTGGGTGGAACAAGTTTTGACTTTTTGAATGCCTAGTTGATTCTTAGCTGCAATGAGCCCTGATTAGCTTATGGTGTTAGTCATTATCCTGTAATGAAACGAAATAGAGAACTAGCGTTCCTGAGATTTGCCAGATGATTGATGTTTTGCTCCTTCCAGAGGGGTCATTAGCCTATAGGCTGCTGATCAGTGTGGAGTAATGGAATCAGTTTCAGAGTTGATTGTTCTAGCAATTTCATGTAATGCTTTGTAAAGATGGAGTATAGGGGTTGCGATGAGGGCATGGAGAGGCGGAAATAGCAGTGCTTGGTTTGTTCTCCACCTCAATCTTCCTTTGCGGTGAACTGGGTTGGTGGATTGTCCTTTGGATTCTGCTCCTGCCTTTTTATTGTAGAAGCTGGATGAGTCAGAATTCTAAATTAGCTACTAATCACTGGTCTTTTGGTTCTTTTTGGCCGGTTCGTGCACCTTGGAGAGATGGAATATCGAAAGATAAAATGCTGGCTAGTGGCTTGTCTTACCCTGCAGTCTTTTGTTGTTGTAGGATCGTGTGACTTGGTTCGTAATGCAAGCTCGTTTTTGTACTTGATTTGTCTGATTGTCAGTCTAATTTTGTAGAATGCTGCATAGTATTGGCATTTAAGATATCTGCAGACTTGTCTAGAGAGCTGATTTGCGTTCTTGATGTTTAGGCTGAGAATGACCACCTATGTCGCATCTAACTCTGTAAATGCATTGTTGACCTTCATTTTAACCTGCTTCAAAGGATTTTCTTTGCACAGTTTTGTGCATCTATTGACCTATCCTACTGGATCAATCAGATGAGTTCATAGTTCTTTGAGTTTCCCTCCCTTCATTGAGGATACGTTATACTATCTTAGACAATGTATATCATGCAACTTGTGCATACTTTACTTATGTGTATGTCATGAGTTACATGAGGGCACTATACTATATCTCATCTTTCCACTATCGTTCTTCTAATTATATCATATGGGAGGGGTTTTCATCAGAACACTGGCTGCCACCCACTCAAGGTGAAACTTTGGCTTAAATTTGAGAGAGTTAACATTTTTATTAGGTTAACATCATTGTACTGCTTGTGTCTCCATTTCTTAATACAATTAAGATCCGGAAGCCTCTGAATTCTTCCCTTTGTTTCGTGACTCATACAGGTGGTTAAAGTGTATGTATCAGTCTTTGGTGATGAAAGAGGAAGAGAAATTGCAATTGCTGGATTGAAATCAAAAGCTAAATATGTTCGTAGTGAGCTGGGAAGACGTATGAAGTTACGTCTCACTCCTGAAATACGTTTCATAGAAGATGAATCCCTAGAAAGGGGAAGCAGGGTAAGAATTGCTTTTTATTTTTAATTCTATGTTCTTCTTGGTTTGTGAACGCAGATTTTACTTATGTAAGCTCTTTATTCATTTCTATAGGAGGCTTGAACTATCTACAATCAGGCTTCTTTTTACTTGTTTTGATGTGTGAAAACATTAAGACGAGCAGAAGCCCTCTTGTTTTTTTGCAATATTAATAATTTAGAACATGATCCGCTATCACAATTCCCACACCCAGATTGGCAACTTAAGCCCTAGTTTGCATATATGGTAGGTGGTTTCTCAGCAGGATTACACTGCCTTCTGACGGTTCTCTTGAAATGTCTCCTGAGAAACAAGATTTAGGGGATCTTGCAATTTCAGAAAACTTCTTTTAATTTCTTTTGTGACATAGTGTTACAAGGCAGCAATAGGAAATAGTACAGTTTCTTATTGATTTCCTCATCTATAGTGATCTCAATGCTACGATTCTCCTGGTATATGTTTTCTTGAATGATATCATCTAGCAAATTCCCTCATGAAGTTGAAGGTTCATACATCTGCTTTTAAATTGTTAACAGTCCATTTAATTATATTTCTTCAGGTTATTGCTATACTAGATAAAATAAAGGCCGAGAAAAAGACAGCAGAAGGTCAGGATGAAGAGCAATTTGAGGCATCAGATCATCCTCAAGATGAAAGAGATTGGGAAGGCGAGGACCCTGATGGAGACATTATTTATGTGGAGTAGGTCTAACTGCTGCATATCAACAGATTATGTTGCTGGACTGAGCATATTGCTGCTTCACCGGTTAGTTTTGAGTTGTCTTTGTAAGGAAGAGAATTCTTTTTCTTCTCTTTAATAAAATACAATAGCAATTGTATTATAGGTGTAGCTCAGCCATATTCTAGATCTTGTTGGAACAAGTTGTTTATGTACTATACTTCCATAAGATTGTATATATTTTTTAAATGAGTCTACTAAAGGAATTGCCAATGTGCCTAAATTACTTGCCACTGTATCTAAATTATTTGCCACTCTACTCAACACTGCCCAATTGGGGTTAAGAATCTTCAGCTCATATTGATGTGACCATCTTCTTTTGCCGGCCTGAAATAGGAAAAAATTACCAGCCATTTGATTCTCTAGTTAAATGCTAAAACCAATAGACAAGCTGAATCCTGCTGTTGAGGCTGTCTGCAATACATGCAGTCCAGGTCATAGAACACTTATAAGTGTGTTCATGCTGTCGTAATTGGTAAATCTAAATCTCAAGCATCTAACTAAGAAAACGGTGATTTTTGACATCTTCCACTAGTTTACGGCACAATGAACGCATTTGCTAGTGTTTACTTGTCCCAGGAATAGATACATTCACCGAAGCATCATACGCATGCTCTTGTTGGGTTTTACCTTTCAAGTTGTTCTTTCAATGATGCTAGTTGTTATTTCCAGAATGACGCTAACTGAAAAGTCAGTCTCTCTTCATGCAGGTTTAAGGCAGTAACGATAAACCGCACTTTGTGCAGGAATGGAGGTTTTATAACATCATCTGGACTTGAAATATATCATGCCGATCTTCATTGCAACTCTCACAGTTTTGTCCTTGCATTTGCCGACCGCACGCCATGGCAAGCTATATTGAGCATGTACTGTGGATCTGAGCATGTGGCCGTAACTTCTTGAGAAGAGCGGATAGCAACCTTAAAGAAGGTAAGAGCCTGATTCGAATCCCGTCGGTTGAGAATTGCCTGTGTTGAAAATTTTATTCATGTATAACCAACTGTTTTTATTTGGTGAGGATACTATTGTCTTTGACTTGGCAAAACAAAACTCTCTTAAAGCATAGGGATATCCCCGCCTGTTTTCTTTGATCTGGGTCATTAGTTCTCTTTTGATCGATTGGCCTTTTCAACTTCTTTCAAGCACAAGTTCAAATTACAATAGGATCGAGCAAGTCTCTTATGCGCATGTATGTCCAGTGTGTATATTCATCTCATTGACAATGAAAACGGATACTACTATAGTTCTTGGACGGTGGACAGATTTTGCTGACATGGACCAATCCACGTCAACCATTTCTTTTTTTGAAGTTGACGTGGACTCTCTCTCTCTCTCTCTCTCTCTCTCTCTCTCTCTCTCTCTCTCTCTCTCTCTCTCTCTCTGCGCGCAAATTAATTAGAGAACCATCATCTGCCACTTGCGGCGTACGACAATCGGGATGTGGTCACAACACTGGCAGCCTAGATATGAAGCACCAGACCTTGCGGGTGACCATGGCAGACTCCGTGGTGATCAAAACCATAGCAGGACACGATCAATGGCTACCACAGCACAGTGGTCACCAGCACACTCTCTCTCTAAAACATATACACATCCACAGTCGGCTCTCGAATATGAGATTTGAGAGTGCGACAACCACCTCACAGTGGCCGCTCAAGGAATGCAGTCGCAGGGAGGCGATTGAGGCCTCAGGCGATGGCGGCCGTCTCTCGCTTTTGTGTTTTTACATTTCTGATGTTGTTTGCACCATGTAACTCACATTAGTACAATCCCAATGCGTGCCAACGAGACTGTGACATGTTCTCAATTTGTCCAACTCAGCACTCCGACCTCCACCTCGGCACTCTAGTGAGCGAGGGATTTTGATAGAGGGGGCCAACGGCAACACTTTTTAAAAAACAATACAAGGACCATTTTGAGTAAAAAGAAGAATAGAAGTACGATGTTGACTTACGAGCAAAAGTACCACGGTCACTGGTAGAATTAGCCGCCAACGAAAAACTAATCTTTTAGATCATCTTATTGTGACAATATCTGCATTGAGGTGCCAGAGAATGGGCTTCGGAATCTGGGCACAAGCCGTGCACCGTAAGATAAAAAAAATACTGGGCGCACCAGCACGATGAATCAATACTTAGCCAGTAATGCAAACTAAGTAAGCAAATTATCCCAGCATTCTAAGTGGGAAACAACTTCTCCCAAGTCCCAAAATTTCTAAGCAAGAGCAATTATTTTCCAAGGGAATGGACTAACATGTCTGTCGGGACAATTTGGCAAGCCGTGAAAGGTGGAATGCCGTGACAATAGCCGAACCAAGGTTCAAGTAAATTTCACGAAACATGTAGATTGTTGGAGACGCAGCGAATGCTCATGGTAAAATCTACCAGCGGATTATTCAATCCCTAATTCTAGAAATTGAGACTTCCAATCGAAAGGAGCTGTAACAGTCAATGATGAGCCTTGGCCTCGGCTTTCCTTTGGGACTTGGCCTTCGCCTGGAAAAACAACAACAGGTTTAGTTACCAAAACAGATGCTTACGTTGCTGGAGAGGGTATTAAAATCTCTGAGGGAAACACTTAAAGAATGTCGATGAGCATCACTCTCTAGAGTGAAAAGTTCTACAGCGTCCTTCGTCATTAATATGTTCTACATATCATTAATATAAAGGTGAGTTTTTGCCTTCTGCTAAATTCTTCCCAATTTATACTGAAACTTGAAACCTAACAGAAACCATGATATGAGGTTGAGCACATCACAGGTCAAGCACCACATCTGAGAACCATTTTTCACATGTCCCCTATGTCATAGGCTGATTTAGTTATATGTCACGATTCCCCTTTCACTTACTTCAACACTAACGCCAGTTCTAGTTAAATAGCAGCACCTTCCCTTCATTGGAAACACTCCAGAGCCAAAGAAATGGTGTCCCTTGCATACAAAAGCTACTTCTACATTCAAAATCATATAGTTTTGAGACTAACATCCACAAGGAACAATATCACGATGAATAAAACGTAACCAGGACTTTGCGGAGATCTGATTCTGCTTTTGTAATTACAATATTATCCTGAAACTTAAACTTTAGCAATTCACTAAGACATCTGGCGTTCTTCAAACCCCACAGTAAAATGAGGAGAAAAGTATTGTCCGAGTCCTAAAAACTATTTTATCTACTAAACTCAATTATTAACTCCCAAAACTTTTTAAAGATGGCTCAATGAACTATCTCCAGCAATTTATCTCGCTGGAAAATTCTCCATGACATTATTTTAATAATAAATGTCCTACGAGTCATTTTTTTTGTTGAATTCATCCTTATGCGAGTACTTTCTTTACCAGAAAGAGAAGATCAGAAAAATCAAGTGTCGCGACCCGCTGAAAAAATTTATAATTAATTTTGGGCAAAATTAAAAATTAGGTGTCAACATTAAGGAAAAGAAATCATCCCAGCATGCCATCTTCTCCACCAACCACCACCATTTCTACATTGTTGGCACCACCATCGCATTTTCCATCATTTTCAGAAAAGCCATTTTATCTCCAAAAGGCAAGCACCAAGAACACCAAAAGAAGTTGAGCAGCGAAAACCAGGAAGAAATTTCGGCATTTCTACATGAAGGGTGAAGGGTGAAAATCCCAGAGCAATTTTGTTTCACTTGTCACCTATGAACTGGAATTCACTGGACTTTTAGGATGCTCGGTCAAGAGTTTTGGCTTTGAGCCTTTGAATAGTGTTAATGTGAACATTTAATTACAGTGAAAAGTAAGTGTTCCTTCACTCCCACTTCTCTCATTTAATTCTTCAAAGACAATGCAATGCTTAGTTTCCTTCCTTATTTTTTCTTTCCTCAAAAGTTCAGCACACCCTCATCTGACCTATGTGGTGGCTCACGAGTGCTCGATTTTCAAAATATAAGGACAGACTTCAAAATGGGTTAATAGGAGTGTGTTAGGAGTTATTCCACCACCATCTAAAGTGTGGCAGGTGTCATTCATCGCCCGGTAGCTTGCTGGTAGTTGTGTTTTAAGCTTGTGGCGGGGCTATAGATGGTAGTGAAGGAAAACACGGACGAAAAAGGTAAAGCAAAAGTTCTAGAAAAATGCCAAACTATATAAATTCCATTTTCTATCCCTTCAGGAGAGAGAGGAGTTCCAATTTGAAGCCATTGGAAGCTTCTAAAATGTAAAGCACATCTACTACAACATAAATCACTTTCCACAAACAATAAATTCCATTCACAAACAGCCTCAAGATTCAGTGAGAACTACTTCTCCGGCAAAAGAAAAAAATCAAAGCATGAGAGACCAAAAACACGAGCACAGCCATATAGATCATCCCGCCACGGTCATTTTGCAAGCAATGCAGTAATCTTAGGCTCATGTTTTGGTTGCGCAACACTACGAGGAATAAATAACGAAGCAATATAAACAAGGATCCTTCAATTAGAATCCACTACCTCACTAAAAGGAGAATAAATTCCAGACCCAGTCCAGAAAATCCACACTAACAGTCATTTCCACAAGCTACTCGTGCGCTCCCTAAACACCCATGAAAGCACTGACCCACCAACCATCAAACCATCATAGCTAAAATTCATACCACTCTATACTCGAAAATGCACAGCAGAGAGTCCAAGTTTTTCCATACCTTGAGATACTTCAACTTGACGCTTCCATAGACAGCTCCGAAAGAAAAGGCCGAAACACGAGCCACCTACCCATCAGCCCCATCAAACACAAACAGCCCAGATCAGTCAAAGTGCAGATCGATTTCTTGTTTTTTATTTTTTCCCTCCCCTCTTTCCCTTTCCCTTTCCCCCTTCCCCTGTTGCATTCGCAGAGAAAATGAATCAAACACAAAGGGAGGCGAATTGGGTTTACCAGGGCGAGAGTGCTGGTCCCGGAGAATGGTCCTGGAGGCGGCGCCATTGGAGATGCCCCGTGCTCGGTAAACGGAAGCGCGTCGCTTTGCGAGGTCGATCGGAGGAAGAAGAGGAGGGTAGAGAGAGAGGAGAGAGAGAGAGAGAGAATACTTTGCTTCGTGAAATGCCACGGGCGGGCCGGATACCCGAAACCCGAATTTGACCCGGTACGAGGAGTGGAAACGGGCCGGGTTTGAGACCGTCGAATGTGACTAAACCCAAAGTCCACTTCTCCCCGGTGATATAAGCCAAGCCCGTCCCAAATCTAAGATGAGTTTTGTAAATTTCTTCCCCAAATCCTTTTTTTTTTTTAAGCCCATAGATTTTCAAATTAGCTAAACTAAAGGATATAATTACCAGACTAAATAGCTTGAATGTTTTGTAACGGTAAAATAACACAAACAGTCCATGAACTTTGGCTCTATGTGCAATTCGGTCCCTGAACTTTTAATTTGTTTATCGTAGTCCATGAACTTTAGTCTAATGTTTAATATGGTCTCTAAACTTTTAATTTGTTCAATGTAGTCCATGAACTTTTGGTATATGTTCAATTTAGTCCCTAAACTATATGAAAATGTTCAATATAATCCTTCTATTAATTCAAGTTCAGAGACTACATTGAGCATTTTCATATAGTTCAGGGACTAAATTGAACATGTACCAAAAGTCTAGGGACCATATTAAATAAATTAAAAGTTCATGGACCACATTAAACATTAGGCTAAAGTTCAAGGACTATATTGAACAAATTAAAAGTTCATGAACAGAATTGCACATTAGATCAAAGTTCAGGGATTGTTTGCGTCATTATCCCTTTTGTAAAAGTAACGATAATTTAGTAATTTGATTAGCTAACTGGGCTTAGATTTTAAAATGGGTCTTGTTGACGAGGTTAACTAGAAATATAAATGATATTGTTCAAGGCGCCTTTGAGAATGAAAGAAATGCGTGTTATAATAAATTAGCTTATTTAAAAGAAAAAAAATTTATATATCAAAAACACATTTAATAATACTTAACAAGTGTTTTAATGATACTCTTTAACATTTTCGTTTATGAAATATTCACAGATTCAATCATCCTCCAAGGCTTTCCTGATTGATCAGAGAGGTTGCCTGAGACGAACTATTAGCTGCACGGATTTTGCCGGCTTCTAAAGTCGCAATTGCAATGTTTTCCAAGGCACGATACTGCATGAGCTAGGACTTAGCCTTGGAATCGAACTGAACTGGCTAGTTCTAGACGGTTCTCAGTTTTCAAAATTTGGAACCGGTGATACTCGGTCCAAAACTTGGTTCCAAGTGTGGATTGGACTGCCCGGACCAGACCGATAGTTTTTTTTTATTTCTTATTATTACAAAACATTTCTTGAAAGATGATTGGAAGGTGGTACGTGAAATTTCGCATTCCCTTTGAACCAAAACCCTAATTTCCCATTCTCGCCGCTCAGTCCCTCGGCTCTCACTCAATCTCACAACTCTCACTTCTCAATCTCATGCGGTCACGCCTCCCTCGGTAGCTGTCGCTCGACACCTCCCTCTCGCTCGACGCCATGTAATATCTTGCAAACTCAAACTGTACAAAGGTATTCTCGTGATCGCAACAAGAAATAGATAGGAAGGAATATATTTTACATCCACAACTTCGAGTCTTTTTGGGAGTGCTAGGTCAGGGCTGACGATTTTAGAAGCAGAAACGTGTAGTCGGAAGTTTCCCAGTGGTTCTGATTCCATTTGCTTTATCTTTGGCCTTCAGCTCTTCATTCCTTTGCCTTTCCTCTGCCTATGCTCTTGCTCCGACCGCGATCTGTTCAATCCTCCCCATGTCGGCCGCATATGTTTGCAATGTTTTGGCTTTTTTCCTCCCCAGTTCACACTGGCAATCTTGCAGGGAATAGGGAAAAAAAAAAAAAAGGAAAGAGAGAAATCTCACCAATCGGTCCGGTTCTAGGACCAAGTGGACCGGTTCCCGATTTCACAAACGGGGAACTGACCTTATCGATACGATTTCCGATTCCAAGATGAGAACCGACCCACCTTGAAATCGATTACCCCAACACGAGCGACAATCACGGCCAAGAGGCCGAGAAAGAGAAGAGAGAGATTTGTGGTTAGTGTTTACGAGTACACGCGTGCGCGCAACGCAATTTTTCTATTAGCGTGCGACATTTTGGTAAGGTAAAATTCCCCCCCACGTCTCTAAAATTTTCAAACGTTAGAAAAGAGGGATTCCCAACTTCTCAAGGCCGAAAAAGTCAAAGTCGTCTCGTTGAGACCCCCACTAACTCCCTCTTTAAAAACTCCACACGTCGCTCTCCAAACTCAAAACGCTAGATTTACGTAAGGGCAGGGTCACGAGCCGATGATGCCTCGAGACCTTAAAAAATCGCAAGAAAATAATAATGTCGCAACTTTCGAATACTCTGATGGGAAGAAGAGATAACGGGGAGCGATGATGGGTGGTGGCGGATGTGGAGTTTTATAGGTCCCTCCTCTTCTTTTTAATCCCCCCTTTTTTTTTTATGTTAATACCTAGAAAAACCCCAAATCGATATACACGTGACAAATTTATCCCAAATTGATTTTTTGACCCTCAAAAATCCCAAACTGGTACATCTGTGACAATTTTACCCTCCGTTAGTTTCCGTTAATACCTCGAAAAACCCCAAACCGGTACACATGTGATAAATTTATCCAAAATTAATTTTGTGACCCTCAAAAACCCCAAACTGGTACACCTGTGATAATTTTACCCTCTATTAGTTTCCGTTAAATTTTACTATCAAATTTCTGAGTTGGATGACACGTGACAGCTGACGGATCTACCGGTTTAGGGTTTTTACCTTCCGTTTGTCACACGTGTACCGATTTGTGATTTTTCGCGGTATTAATTCAATTTAACGGGGGGTAAATTTATCACACGTGTATCAGTTTGGGGTTTTTTGTGATCAAAAAATTAATTTAGGATAAAATGATCACAGGTGTATCAGTTTGGAGTTTTTCGTGGTATTAATTTTTTTCCTTAAAAGTGATTTCTTTTGGGTCTTTTTGACTTGTAAAAAGCGTTACAGCTAAACGACAAGATTGCTAGATGATGTGGAATAATTTTGTGTTTTTCTGGGGGGTCAAAGATTACATGGAATAATAAACAAAGGTTTCCCCCCCACCCAAATTCTCCGCGGTCCGTACGAATATTAGCCGTTCCTCTTGGCGCTCCGTGGCTCGGCACTCACTTTCGAGAGAAAAAGAAGAAAGAAAGGGAAAGGGAAAGGCAAAGGGAATCTATGGAAAATTAGCTTTATCCTGTTGAAATTCTAAGAAGTGGGAACAAAACGACTGAGAAGTTGACACGTACGCGATGGGAATTTAATTTAGGACGATATATACAACGTTTTTTTCTCTTATAATGCATGGGCATGGACACAGCTATCCAGAAATTTTTGAATTTCCAAGTTAATTGTGGTACCGGAATAATATTTTAGCTTTGTGTGTACTTAAAATAAAGAAATCTCATTAAATAAATCCGAATCGGCTGAAAGTGCCAGACCCGACAAAAAAAAATCAGCTGAAAATGCCCACAAGAAATGCCTTCTTTTCATAATTTTATTTTAAAAAAAGAGGGTTTATTATAATTTGATTTTCATAATTTTTTTTTATGTTACGTCTATTAAGGGAGATAGGTTGATAATTCTATTTATATAGAGTTTATTTATTATTTTAACTTAATACTTGCTTAGTTTTAATTGAATTTGATGCCTACTTTATTTATTTTAATTAATTTTTGTAGGTAATTGAAGTTAAAGGAAGCTTAGGGACTAATTATGTAATTTGCCGGCTTTCCACGCGTTTTGTCCTCCTAAGCTGCGTGAAAGTATCCAAAACAATCCAATTATTCCTAAATCGTGTAGAAGCTTCCCAAATTGGAGATCAAAGCTATGCAAATCTGAAATCAAGAATAATCAAGCCTATTTTGTGAAGAAAATCAAAGTCCAAGCTAAAAAAAGAGTTTTATTATTGAGAGGAGTCATAATTTGGAGGAACCTTCAATTGCAATCCTATTGTGATTAAGGTTTCTTCAAAAGCAAGAGGAGGTAAAAAACGTGACTTCAGAAGAGAGAAAAAGAAGAAGAAGAAGAAGGAGGCGACTTAAAAATCAAGCATTTTGATTATTCTTGGTGAATCTGTTCTAGTTCTTCATCATGTTTAGTTTAGTTATTGTTTTTAGTTTAATGTTCATTATGTTCTAGACTACTTGTTGTTAAAGCTACGATGTAGCTTAACTATGATTGATTAATTTTCAAGACTTGTTGATGCAATTCTAGATCTCGTATGTGTGAGTTATATATCATGTTCTTAATGCTTTGAAGTGCTTGATCACCACTTGCATGATTTTTATTGCATGATGAAACCGAAAGGAGATTCTATGCAAGTGCTTTATGATATATAGCCATGAATTTAACTTAGATAGAGATATACTAGGTTGTTTGTGTGGTTTCGGTAGTAAGTAAATCGAGGGTGGTTTATTGAATCCGGGAACATTCATAGATTTTAATGCACTTAGGTTTACTTAAATTCACATGGACCAAGTGTGGGTTGCTAAATCTAAGTAGGGCTGCTATACCGGACTAAGGATAGTAATTTAAATTAGGAAGTTCTACCATCACACTATGATTTCAATTTGATTGCATGACGAGCTTGGTTAATTAATCTTGATTGGTTAAGTGAAATCGGATGCTCTAACGTTTTTAATTCTTGATCAAAGTCCTTTGCTTCTTGCTTCTTTATGTTCGAAATTTCTAGGTTTAGTTTGTGAATTTCTATTTTCGATTTTGGTTTGCTGCCTTGGTTAATTTAGCTTTTGGAAATTTCAATCTTAATAGGTTAATTTAGTTTTCTTTAGAATTTTGATTGTTTTATTAAATCTTTAATTGGTTAGATAAAGTTGAGAATTGTTCACCTTTAGTAAGTAATTTGATTGATTTGTCTACAATCTCCGTGGGAACGATACTTTAATTCATCACTTTATTACTTGTTCGATACGTACACTTGCGTTGCTAATTTAGAGAACATAGATTCTCTGTTGCGTAATGATTTATTTGATTTTGTTATAGGATAAAAAAG